ACTCGAAGACGAGACTTAAAGTGCTCGACCATTGCAACAAACGATCTTGAAACTTGTAGTTTTCTATTTATAGGAGGAAGAGATGAGGGGCAGAACTGGTCCCACTGGACGTGCCAATTTATTTGCAATAAAATTTCGACATACGTGAAAAATAAACTACAATCACAAATTAAGAAAAAAATATATATTTACTAATCAACTGTGAGTACAATTTTGTTTCTCCGTTGATTCTTCTCTCCTGATTATCTCTGTGATTTGAGGGCTGAAGCAGCGTATTTCTCGAATGTAGGATGATGTAGACCTCCTGGGATGTATTTGATTTCCAACTTCTTGAACTATTTGATTGTCGATAAGTATCCGATCATATTTTAATCTCTTTGTGAATATTTCAAGAGTTTACGGGATTTTCGAGACGATCTCCATTTTTTTAGATGCCACTTCAAGAGAATATGTATCCCTTTATATAGCTGTTCGTTAGGACTTAGGGTAGAGTAACCTCCAAGAAACCCTGATATACTCCTAGGATATCAAGAGTCTTGTACTATCTTGAATTTAAGATTCAGCTTGATACTTTAAAATTTCGATGTCTACAAATGCCCCTACTTTAAAAGGGTAGAATTGGAAGGGAAAAGGAGGAAGAACATGAAGAGAGAGAGAAACGAGATGGGCAGGAGGAAGAACGTGATGAGAGAGATAGAGAAATCAATAAGGGAGGGGATTAGGGAATTAATGTTTGAATTTTATTTTTAGTTTTAGTTTTTAGTTTTTATTTATTGATTTTAATTATTTTTAACCTACCATATGACATGGCATCTACATATTGTTATTTTTTGACGTGGCAGCCAACGTGGAGGAGATTGTATTACACATACTGGCAGCCTCCTGTCATAAGCGTTTATTATACACGGTTTGAAGGAGTGTAAGTGTTCAATTGGCAAATTGTCAAGTTTGGGGACCGGCATGACAAAGTGGCACAAGTATAGGTACCATTTAGGCTATTCTGCCAAGTATAAACAATAAATTTTAAATTCAATAAATCAAATGGATTATGGTAGATTTTAAATTCAAACCCATAATATTTGAATTTTGAATTCGTGTCAGCTTTTTGAAGATGAATTTTCATAAAGCACTATAGTCTAGAGCCTAGTAAATATAGTTTGCGTAATTACCATTTATAACTACTGTTCAATTATTACCAACTTGTATTATTTGTTTCAAACGCGCAATGAATACAACATGTATCAATTGTTTTCGTGCAACGAATACAACCTGTATTAACTATGTATTCATTCGTGCAGCGAATACAATATGTATCAACTGTAACCAAGGCAAAATATAATGGAGTATAAAAAGGATACAACCTGTATCGATGGTATTCAAATGTGCAACAAATACAACCAAGGCGAAATACAAAAAAATAAAATGCTCTTGCTGAGAGTCTATTGATATGTATATATATGTGCAATCTTACGTGGCTGTCCAGCTTGGTTAGTTAGTAGTTGTTAGCTACTAATATTATATCCAGTTGTAGCTTAGTTGTCACTAGTTAGTAGTGGAGCAGATTAGAGGAGTCAATTGTATATATAGAGACTTCAATATTCAGTTAATACAGAGATTTCATTTTTCCCAATTCTGTTCCTCTGTCTTATCTCATTCTGCACCAGTTGCTTCCATTGGAGAAGCTTCAAGCTTCATCTGTTGAGCTCATATTTCAGCATGGTATCAGAGCTATCGACGCTGGAGGAATTTGCTATATAATTACTACTGGTTCATGCATATCGATTCACTGTTGGATTGCATCGAAGCTTGAGATTTCTTCAAACTGTCAACAATGGTGGAATCAAAAATTGATTACACACATCCACTGTATGTAGGCCTAGGGGACACTCCAGGATCAATTTTAATTCATGTAAAGCTTACAAGATCGGAGAATTATGGTCTTTAGAGTAGATCTATGTGCATTGCATTACTGGGGAAGAAGAAACTAGGGTTCATAACATGCACATGTAAATTGGAGACATTTCAGAAGGAACTGCATGAGCAGTGGGAGACCTGCAATACGATCGTTTTGTCATGGATCATGAATACAGTGTCTGAGGAACTCCTAGGTGGAATTGTGTATACATCCAATGTACACTTAGTTTGGGAAGATTTGAGAGAGAGGTTTGACAAGATCAATCGAGTTCGTATATTTCAATTACATAGAGAAATAGCTACTCTGTCACAAGGATCTAGTTCGGTTTCTGCTTACTTCTCAAAACTGAAAGAATTATGGCATGAGTATAATGTGATGATACCATCCCTTAAATGTGGTTGTCCAAAGTCTAAGGAGCATGTAGAACAACTTCATAGACAAAGAGTAATGCAGTTTCTTAGTGGTTTGAATGATTCACATGACATCTAGACGACAAATACTTATGAAGTCTTCTGAGCCAACTCTCAATCAAGCCTATGCTATGATCATTCAGGATGAAAGCCAACAGGTTGTTAAAGCTAATGTTGTGACATACAAAATTGACCCTTTGGTTATACAGGCAGGGCAAGGCCATGGTTTCAAAGGCAAAAAATAGTTTTTATACTGTGATTACTGTAAGATGAAAGGTTACATTAAGAAAAATTGCTATAAGATAGTGGGTTATCTATCTGATTTCAAGCAAAGGAAGAGGTTTGGTGCCGGTAATTCTGATGGTTGGAAGCCTCCTAGAGGTAGATCTCATGAAGGATGGAGGAAGGAACCCTTAGCTGCTGCTAATAATGCAGATGTAGCATCAGTCGCTCAAAATGATGGAGACAATCACAAGGTAGCAGAACACAAGGGATTGTTCTTCACACCTGAACAATACAATCAAATCCTGAGTTTGCTGAACAAAGATTCTGGAGATCATCAAGCTAACATGGCAGGTATTGTCACTTGTCTAATGTCTAATTTCAAACAACAAAGGGAATGGAGTGTAGATTCAGGAGCTACTCACCATATCACCTCTAACTTAGATCTGTTGAATGAAAGTAATCACACTGTCAAAACAAGTACAGATAGAGTTCACTTGCCAACAGGAGGACAAGCAGATATCACACATATTGGTAGTGCAATATTGTTCAATGGGGAAACTATTAGCAATGTGCTTTATGTGCATGACTTTAAATTCAACTTACTATTAGTGTCAAAACTAACCAGACAGTTATCCTGTTCTGTGCAGTATTTTCCTGATTTTGTTATGTTTCAGGACCTTTACAGTGGCAGGGTAAAGGGGATTGGTAGAGAGAATGAAGGATTATATGTGCTGAGAAGTGATTTAGATGATGATGAACTAATTAAAGGAATAAAGGCAGTACATGCAGTAGAGAGTGCAGTAAGGGACAGCCCGTGGCATATGAGGCTGGGACAATCCTTTATTAGCAACTATGAAGAATATAGTAGAGCTTTATGACAGTATTAATAATAGAGTACAGAATAAATGCCATATATGTCCTTTGGAAAAACAAACTAGACTGCAGCTTCCACTCAGTTCTTCTAGAGCTGAAGCTACCTTTCATCTTGTACACATGGATCTTTGGGGACCTTATAAAATTCCCACATTTGATAGAAAGCATTACTTTCTCACTATTGTGGATGATCATACTAGATATACATGGATCTATTTGTTGCAGCTGAAATCTGAAATAATTGTGGTGTTAAAACAGTATGTGGCAATATAAAAACCCAGTTTAACACTATGATCAGGATAGTGAGGTCAGATAATGGAATTGAGTTTTTCAACTCACAGTGCACTGAATAGTTCACTAAACTAGGGATCATTCATCAAAGTAGTTGTTCCTACACTCCACAACAGAATGGTGTTGTAGAGAGGAAACATAGACACATCCTTGATACCGCTAGAGCCTTAAGATTTTAAGCATTTATCCCTCTCAGATACTGGGGCATGTGTGTGAAGGCAGCAGTGTACTTGATAAACAGGCTGCCCTATACTATTTTATTAGGTAGCACACCATATGAACAATTGTATCACAAAAGGTCCAAGCTAAGTCACCTTAGAATACTAGGTTGTCTCTGCTATGCAACTAACTTGGTCAAGGGAGATAAATTTGCACAAAGGGCTAAACCTGCAGTATTACTTGGTTTTTCAGAAACACAGAAGGGTTACATCTTGCTGGACTTAGCTTCTAGGCAATTCTTTGTCAGTAGGGATGTGACTTTTAGAGAAACAGATTTTCCATTCAAAACACAGGTTTCTTCAGGATGCACAACTCCTTCTGATACTATTTTCCCGGATGCCATCTTGATTCATCCTTTGCAAGACATAACTGCTGCATCAAACATTGATGGTCCATCAGAAGTGAGAGAAGAAGAGGATACTTATGTCTAGGACAACACAGTTCCTGATTCAGAAGTAAGAGAAGAGGAGGCAACTTATGTCCAGGACAACATAGTTGCTGATTCACAACGTCAGGACAATGAGACCCCTGAAGTTGAAACCTCCATTCCTGAAGATGATACTGAGAACAATGAAGATATCTCTGCTGCTGATAATACTCCATCAGCTCCTACTAATGTGCCTACTGAGACAAAAGTAAGAAAATCAATCAAACAAGGCAAACAACCTATATGGATGAAGGACTATGTCACTAAGGCCAAACCCAAGTCACATTGCATCTTGTATCCTTTGTCAGATTACTTGTCATATGCAGGCACCTCTGTTAAATATCAAAGTTATTTTGTAGGTTTTTCTTCCTTGGTTGAACCACAGAACTTCAGAGAAGCTGTCAAAGACCCCAAGTGGATTGAGGCAGTGAAACAAGAGATCACAGCACTCGAAGAAAATAAAACTTGGGAAATAGTTGATTTGCCCAAAGGGAAAAACACTGTGGGATCAAAGTGGGTATACAAGATCAAGTTTAAAGCAGATGGGGAAATAGAGAGGTTTAAGGCAAGATTAGTTGCCAAAGGTTACAATTAAAAGGAAGGGTTGGATTATCATGATACCTTTTCTCCTGTGGCAAAAATGGTTACAGTAAGATCCATCATAGCACTAACAGCATCAAAGAACTGGGAACTGTTCCAAATAGATGTCCATAATGCATTTTTGCAAGGAGACTTATGTGAGGAGGTATACTTAGAGATTCTAGAAGGTTTTAAAAGTCAGGAAAATAAAGGTATGTAGGTTGCACAAGTCCTTGTATGGACTCAAGCAGGTATCTAGCCAGTAGAACATTAAGTTGACTGAAGCCTTGACAAGTGCAGGTTTCACTCAAAGCAATCATAACTACTCTGTTTACCATGAAAAAAGGTGAGGATGTGGTGATCATTTTAGTCTATATGGATAATCTGCTTATTAGGAAGTAGTAAAGAGCTCGTGAGTATTGCTAAGAGTATACGACATGACAAGTTCAAGGTCAAGGACCTAGGGGAGCTTAAGTACTTCTTAGGCATAGAAGTCTTAAGGTTTCAACAGGGCATTTTTTTGAATCAAAGAAAGTATGTGCTTGAATTGATTTTAGAAATGGGACTCAGTGGAGCAAACCCTTATGTAACACCACTGGAAACAAACCAAAAATTGACTACAATGGAATATGATAAGAAGTAGGTGCAACAGATGATCTGCCATTGCAGGATGTTTGTGCTTATCAAAGATTGCTAGGAAAATTGCTATATGTGACCATCACCAGACCTGATATCAGCTATACAGTGCAGACACTCAGTCAATTTATGCAAGAGCATAAACAATCACATTGGAAAGCTGCCATCAGAGCGGTGAAGTATCTCAAGAATGCACCTGGTTTAGGTGTGTTTATGAAGGCAGAATCAACACAGCATCTTACTTGTTGGTGTGACTCTGACTGGGCTGCTTGTCCTAACACTAGGAGATCTGTGACTGGTTATGTTGTCAAGTTTGGTGAATCCTTGGTGTCTTGGAAGTCCAAGAAGTAGCAAACTGTCTCAAGGAGCTCTGTAGAGGCAGAATATCGAAGCATGGCATCTGTTGTGGCTGAAGTAACATGGTTACTTGGCTTATTTCAAGAATTAGAAGTTGTCATTACACAGCCTGTCGTGGTTCACTATGATGACTCAAAAGGTCATCACTTGTTTTAAAACAAAATTCCATGTTCTGATTCTTGAAAGCCTCATTTAGAGTCACCTCAATTTGCATGCGTAGTTCAGGCGCATAGCCGGAAAGCTTAAATATGATAATCTGTGAAAAAGCGATAAGTTTTGATTATAAAATGAGCTAATTTGACTTCGGTCAACGTTTTGGGTAAACGGATCCGGACCCGTAATTTGATGATCCCGGAGTGTCCGTAGTAAAATATGGGACTTGGGCATATGCCCGGAATCGAATTCTGAGGTCCCAAGCCCGAGAAATGAATTTTTAAAGGAAATTATTTTCTGGAATTGTTTAAAGAAATTTGAAATGAAATTTGATTTAAACATGATGGTATCGGGCCCGTATTTTGATTCCGGCACCCGGTACAGGTCTTATATATGATTTAAGACATTTTTATGGGATTTGGTGAAAACGGATGTCATGTGACGTGATTCGGACTTAAATCGAAAAATTTATGTTAAAGAAGTTTTGAGAAAATTTAATTGATCTAGAGACTTAATTTGATGTTCAAAATGTTATTTTAATGATTTGATTACACAAGTAGGTCCATATGATGTTTTTGAATTAGTATGCACACTTGGTTTGGGGTTCCAAGGGCTCGGGTGAGTTTCGGGTAAGTTCGGGATGTTTTAGACTTAAAACCAGATGTTGCAGGTCTCTGAACCCGCCAGTGCGGTCCGCACAAAGACGTGTGCGACCGCGGAAGGGAGCCAGTGCGGTCTGCGGTCGATATCGTGCGGTGCACGGTGGAGGCCTGTGCGGTCCATGGTCGGTTTCGTATGGTGCGCGGTGCGGTAGAGGCCTGTGCGGCCGCAATCCATTTTGTGCAGTCTGCACAGGAGGTCTGAGAGGGGTATACATAGACGAGATTTTTAGTTATTTTGCACCTTTCAAAAACCCCAAAAACATAAGAAGCGATTTTTCAAACAACCTTTCTTCTCCAAATCAATTGTAAGTCGTTTTTAACTAGTTTTCTTCAATCATTAACATCTTTTAACATGATTTCAACTTCAAATCAATTATTTTCATGGGGAAATAAGGTGTTTTGGATAGAACCTAGGGTTTTCAAAAATTGAGAATTTGGACCTCGATTTGAGGTCCGATTTCAAAACAAATTACATATTTGAGCTCGTGGGGAAATGGGTAATCGGGTTTTGATCACGTGGGCCCGGGGACGTTTTTTACCTTTTGGGTAAAACTTTGGAAAACTCATTTTCATGCATTCAAAATTGATTCATTTAGCATTTATTGATGTAATTAAGTAAATTGTGACTAGATACGAGCGAATTGGCGGTGGAATCAAGGGGTAAAGCTATAATTGAACTTTGAGTTGTGTTCGTGACATCGAGGTAAGTGTTTGGTCTAACCTTAGCTTGATGGATTAGGAGTTGTGTCCTATTTGCTATTTGCTTCTCGTCGAGTACGACGTATAGGCATGGTGACGAGTATCTATACGTTGGTGTCAAGCATGATCGTGGGTCTTATATTGTGATTTTCATGATTTCGTTGTATTATTCATGCCTTGGTGAAGATTTCTAATTGTTGTATAAAGTTTGTGGAAAGAATTGTGACCTATGAACATTGAGGAGCGTTGGCTCAAGTTGTATAGCAAAATTGTGAAAGTATAAGTGACAATTGAACTTTTAGAGCATTGGCTCGAGTTGTGAAATGAATTGTGAAAGTATAAGTGATAATCAAACCTCTAGAGCATTGGCTCGAGTTCTGAAGTGAATTGTGAAGAAAAATTGAGAAAGAGAAGAAATCATTATGTTGTTCCCTTGCCGGGATTTAATTGTTTAATTGTTGTTCCCTTGTCGGGATTTAACTGTTTAATTGTTATTCCCTTGCCGGGATTTTAATTGTTTGATTGTTGTTCCCTTGCCGGGATTTAATTGTTTAATTGTTGTTCCCTTGATGGAATTTAATTGTCTAACTATTGTTCCCTTGCCGGGATCTCTATTACTATTTTGTTTATTCTCTTGCCCCTTTGCTTGTGATTGTTGATTAGGTGAGGAAGAGTGTTAAAGCATGAAGGGTGATGTCGTGCATTGCTTGTTATTGTAAGGAAAGAGTGTAAAGCACGAAGGGTGATGTCGTGCCGCACGACGTACCATTCTGTGCCGATTCTATTGATTATATGGTGAGGAAAGAGAGTAAAAGCATGAAGGGTGATGCCGTGCACATTTTGATTATATGATTGTTTTGGTAAGAACGAGGGTAAAAGCACAAAGGGTGATGCCGTGCACATTCTTATTATATAACCGCTTTGGTGGGGCCGAAAGTAAAAGCACGAAGGGTGATGCCGTGCACATTCTTATTATATAACCGCTTTGGTGGGGCCGAAAGTAAAAGCACGAAGGGTGATGCCGTGCAATTGTTGATTTCTGCTTCCTTGTTGCTATTCTAGTTAAGTTGTTTCTTTCCTTACTTGAAGCCTTTCTATTCGGAACTATTATCTCCCTCACAACATGTTTCCCCCTCCTACATTGACTGTTTATTTCTGTATTTCTTTTCCATTGTGTGTGTATATATATATATGAACTACACAGGTTTATTTGGTAATTTGGTCCTAGGCTCATCACTACTTTGCCGAGGTTAGGCTAGACACTTACCAGCACATGGGGTCGGTTGTGCTGATACTACACTTTGCACTGTGTGCAGATCTAGGAACAACTTTCGGATAGTAGTTGGAGGACTTCCTTTAGTCTACTCGGAGACCCAAGGTAGACCTGCAGGTGTCCGTAGGCCCTGACGTCTCCCTCTATCTCTATTTCTTGTTCAGAAACAGTATATTGTATTTCTTCAGACCTTGTATCTAGTAACTCTTAGACAGTCTGTGACACTGTGACACCATGTTTTGGGGTATTTGAGGTTTTAAAAGTTGTAATAGACGTAGCCTTAAGATATATAATTGTTGACTTCCGCTTATTTATTTAAAATTTCGCTTTTATCATATTATCAACTTGTGTTTGTTAAAAAGAAGCAAAATTGAAAGTGTAGCAATTAGTTAAGGTTTGGCTTGCCTAGCGCCCATTAGTAGGCGCCATCACGACTCACGAGGGTGGGAAATCCGGGTCGTGACAAGTTGGTATCAGAGCTCTAGGTTACATTGGTCTCAAAGTTCACAGACAAGCTTAGTAGAGTCTGAGGATCGGTACGGAGACGTCTGTATTTATCCCTCAGAGGCTACAGAGTTAAGAAAAACTTCACATTCATTTTTTCCTGTCGTGCGGTTTTTTGTTTCTCAATGCTAATTGAACTTCTACTCTGTTCTTTTATAGATGGCGAGAACACGCGCTTCCTCATCCTTCACTCAGCAGCCCGAGCCCCCAGCAGCAGCTCTCACGAGGGGCAGAGGGCGAGGCCGAGGTAGGGGTGGATCTCAGCCCCGAGCAGCAACCCCAGTGACGGAGCCTCAGGTTGATTTTGATGAGGAGGTTCCGGCTCCAGCAGTTCGGGTGGGCCCAGCTCATGTCCCAGAGGGGTTTATTGCTACCCCAGTTCTTCAGGATGCTCTGGTCTAATTAGTGGGCCTTATGGAGAGTGTCACCCGGGCAACCTTGCTTCCTGTAGCACCAGTCGTCTCTCAGGCTGGAGGAGGGGCCCAGACTCTTGCTACTCACACTCCGGAGTAGGTAGCTCCTCAGTTCAGACTCCAGCGGTTCAGCCAGTTAGAGCAGTACAACCAGGTGTGGTAGCTCATACCGGTGATGGAGCGGCTATGTCCATCAATGCTTTGTGGAGACTGGATAGGTTCACCAAGCTCTTCACTTCTACTTTCAGCGGTGCATCTACTGAGGATCCCCAAGATTATCTAGACAACTGCCACGAGGTTCTCAAGAACATGGACATTGTTGAGACCAATAGGGTCGATTTTGCTACATTTTGCTTGTCTGGATCCGCCAAGACTTGGTGGAGTGATTATTGCTTAGCGAGACCAGTCGGATCACCAGCCTTGACCTGGGAGCAGTTTACAGTACTATTCCTGGAGAAGTTTCTCCTCGTTACACAGAGAGAGGCCTATCGGAGGCAGTTTGAGCGCCTCCAGCAGGGTTCTATGACTGTTAGCCAGTATGAGACCAGGTTCATCGACTTAGCTCGCCATGCTCTCATCATAATCTCCAGCGAGAGAGAGAGGGTGAGGAAGTTTATTGACGGTCTTATTAATCCGATTCGTCTTTAGATGGTTAGAGAGGCTGGGAGTGAGATTACTTTTCATAAGGCGGCCAATGTGGCCCGTAGAGTTGAGATGGTTCAGTCACAAGGAGGCGGTCATGGGTCAGATAAGAGGCCCCTTCAGTCAGGCTGATTCAGTAGTACCTCATCCGTAGGTCGAGATTTGTATGGTAGAGGCCATCCTCCTAGGCCCTTTCAGTCAGCGCTCCAAGTTTCTCATGGTACTCCAGGTGGTCGTGGTCCCTAGATGTAGTATCCCGATCAGCAGTCCTACAGTGCACCACCTGCTCCTATCAGTTCACAGCCGCTTCAGAGTTTTCGGGGTGGTCATTCAGGTCCTCAAGGCCAGCAGTTTCAACAGCCGAGGGCTTGTTACACTTGTGGTGATACGAGTCACATTTCCAGGTTTTGCCCTTGAGCACCGAGTAGCTCTCAATATCAGGGTCCTCGTGCTATGGTATAGGCACCAGGTGTTCCACAGCCCGCCCAGCCAGCTAGAGGTGGGGGTAGAGGTGCTAGAGGTAGAGCTTAGCCCGCCAGAGGTGGAGGCCAGCCAGCTGCAGGCCATCCCAGAGATGTAGTTCAGGGTGGTGGGGCCCAGTCCCGATGTTACGCCCTTCCAGCCAGGCTTGAGGCTGAGGCTTCAGAT